GGGCTTCCTTATTTCGATCAAATTCCCGAATCATTAAAATCAATTTCTATTTTATCATGTGTTTTGAACTAATTATTAAAATCAAATTTGGTCTTGCAATGGATGTAACTATTGATAGCCCATGGTATACTGCACATATATAGTACGTATACTTATGTAAAAATAACTTTAGAGAATTTTACTAAACTCTAAAATATAATGTAATTAAAAAAAAAGAATTTCAAGATGGAAAAGAATTCATTCGACTCTGCAATATATATAATTATTAAATATTCAAGATTTAATTTTTTTATTTTGTTAAATACTTTCTAATTTAATAAATGTTTGGTAAATTTTTTATACATTTAACACTGTTCTTAACATTATAATTACTTATTTTCTTAGGAAGTTTGGACTTATCAATTTTATAAAAACGTTCATAAACGCATTATCAATAAACAAAACAATAAATAATAATCGTACTTAAAGACGTAGATTAAATTTCAGAATTGATCTACACTTAAACATTTAATTTTAAAATACGTTTTAGTTATTACCAAACGTATATAATTACCAAACTGTTTTACTTTATATTAACCAATGTATATAATTAGCAAACTGTTTTGCACATTACTATAAAAAATTTGATGTGTACACCACATGACTTCCTTGTACGGAATATTAAATTATAGGCATTTTTCCTGCATTTATTTTAAACTTATTTTCACGAATTTCATTAGATATATTTCTCATTCAATAAATTCAGTTCTCACTTCGCGGCACGGCAAAAGTACATAAAAACTCAAAATGTCTTCATTAAAAATGCAGTTACACAAATGCAGTTAAAACAATTTAAAAAAAATTATAATTAAAATTAGAGTTTCTAGTCAAAAACAAGCAATTCGGCCAGCAGGCAAGAAGACAGATTTTTCGGTGCACAAAACAAAAAGTTTCCTTTTGGTCCCCCTAGGCAAAAAGACACTGAAAGTGCAGAAAGACTTAATTCACTGTTCTCATAAGTTTCAAATGTTAACAAATATAGCTGCCATGGTAAAAAAAAAATAGGTTTAGCCGCACTTAAATAACTTTTAAATTGTTGATAATTCTACAACTATTGCATGCAGATTGATTAAAGGTATAAAAACTTTAACCGAAAGATAAGAACAAGAGAATTCAATCATTTTTAAAGTAAAAAAATGTGCAATTTACCAACATATAAGAATAAAAATACAGAGTGGATATATATGTATAATCATATACTTTTGGTGAGGCCGATTGAAACCAAAAAGGGAGGTGCATAGCTATCTGTTCTAACAGTTTTATATGCAAAATTTCAACGTTCTGAGGTTACTCTTGTTTGAGTTATGCGAGATACATACATACATACATAAGTGTACGTACGTGCAGACGCCACGAAAAAAATCTCTTCTGAATGCATTTTAAGTCAGTTTTATAATTCTCTTGAGGAAAATAGTCCTTTTATTCCTCCTTTACGTACATATGTCACGCATCGTTAAACATCGTTAAATTGCATTCGATAGCGGTCAAAATGGATATTTTCGTTGAAATATGATACCCGAAATGTTTTGTGATTACAATACTTCCTTTACTTCTTACAAGGAAAGTAAAAAGTTATTGAACGTATTTCATTGGTACTTTGACAAGAGGCTAATTAAATATTAGTAGAAGTAAAAGAAATTACTAATTTCTTTTACTTCTACTAATATTTAATATATATAAAACAAAAACGAAAAAATGTGTAAATAGGATTTTCAAAATTAAAGCCAGCGTAATTTCTGCTAAGATTGTTATACAATAATTACATAAAGTAAATTATAATTATAGATAATTAAAAGATTTTGAAATTATTGTGAAATAGAAATGTCAGTAGCCTTTGGCTAAGAGTGACAATTTGCTGTAAATATTTAAATCAAAATGACGTTAACAAGACCAAATTAAATGTATGAGAAATTAACTGATGCAATTTTAATACCCTTTCTTGTTGAAATCTTCAGGAGTTGGTCATCTAGAAATAGATAACTTATCTAGCCCCTGCTACACAAAAATAAATTTCAATATACAAGAAGCTCATAAAAAAAAAAACTTCCACGATATATGAGCCCTTAGCCGCCTATCCGCTCAACCAATCGAAATGAAATTTCAGATATTATTATAGGAAGATAGGCCCTCGAGACTGTGATGATTTAAAACAGCAGAATTCTCACTGTTGCGGTTGCGATGAACAAATTTCGACATTTTCGAATGGCAACATCCCCCGCCCCTCGTCCTCAAAAACTGATCAGTGTGTTGAAAAACCAAAATTGGCGTTGGAATGATATGACGAAAACTGCCGGCTTAAAACATTTAAAAAAAAATATTGCAAAGAACCAATGACAAGAGGAGAGGAAAAAAATTCCAGTTTCTTGCACATCCCTTTATCCAGTAGATAGTTATTTGGCTTTCATTCCAAAGAAACCTTTGATGACACAGTTCAGGAAACAGCTTTGTCAAATACATAGACAATTTGGCGGCTACTAAAGCAGCCATCAACTCCAAACGAGGTAGAGTCATAGTCTCGAGTGGAGCTACGTGACCCTTCGCTGCGATGAAACTGGTGCAAATAATATTTTTTGAATCAAACAGAGTTTCTGAGATTCAGTCACTCACGGATCCTGAATGCTGGTTTCACTGCAGTGGGAGTGAAAACCCTGCTGACCTTTTATCTCGAGGAGAAAATGGCTTTAACCTTGTGAGAAGTTCCCTTTGGTTACAGGGACCTAGCTGGCTCTCTCAACCTGAAAGTGTTTGGCCACTAAATCAACCGACCAACATCGACGTGGAGAGCGTTCAGAACGAAGCAAGGATGCAAACATCTCTTCATGTTTCTGTTCAAGACGTAGAATCTTCGGCATTACTAGAGTTAACGCGATTCAGCAGGCTGCTGAAGGTGTATCGAATTACGGCTTATGTTATGCGGTTTACGAACAATATAAAACGAAATTCAGTGAAAGTCAAAGGTCCATTAAGCTCTGTTGAGATTTCGCGAGCTGAGCTCTATTGGGTGAAAGTTACACAGCGAAAATACTTTGCGAAAGAGATTCTAGAACTATCAAGTGAAAAATGCTTAGAAAAGACATCGTCTATTTATTCACTTAACCCAGAATTGGATACCCATAGTCTTCTGCTTTTAAAGGGCAGACTTCAATTCTCAGACCTTGCTTTCGAAGAAAAACACCCATGGACTGTTACCTTATAAAAGATAGATACAGTGAACTAGTAATTTTTGAGTCTCATACAAATTGTTTCATGCTGGAGTCGAAGCTACCTTAGCCGATATTAGAGAGAAAAGTTTTGGATCATAAAAGGACGCCAATTCGTCAAGTCCACGTTAAGTAAGTGCATTTTGTGTAAACGATACAAGGTGCGTACTGGTACACAGGAAACCGCTCCTTTACCACCTGATCGTGTTCTTCAATCATCTCCATTTTCTGTAACAGGGCTGGATTATGCTGGTCCCTTCTTTACAAAGGACAGCAAGAATAAACATTATCTGCTTTTCCTTACATGTGCTACAACTCGAGCTTTACATCTAGAACTTGTCCCTTCTATGAGCGTGGAGAATTTTATGCTTGCGTTTCGCAGATTTATTTCTCGTCGTGGATTGTGCTCAACGATATATTCGGACAATGCCAAGACATTCAAATGTGCTGATCTCGAGTTGCGAAAAATGTGGAAGTGTATTCAACATCCATCTGTACAAAATTTGTTTTCCTCCCGCGGTATAACATGGAAGTTTATTGTGGAAAAGGGAGCATGGTGGGGAGGGTTCTGGGAGAGGCATTTTAGAACGATCAAAACTTGTTTAAGGAAAATAGTTGGACGTTCTAGTCTCTGTTTGAATGAGCTAGAAACAGTCTTCATAGAAATCGAAGCCATAATTAATTCAAGGCCCATAACGTATGTCTACAATGACCCTTCAGAACCCTCACCGCTAACTCCTGCTCATTTCTTAATTGGTAAACGTTTACTTTCTCTTCCAGTTACAAGAGTGTGCAGAGAAGACTTGATTGGGTCTAGATATTCCTTGATCAAAAGGTATAAACATCAACAAACCTTGTTAAACCACTTTTGGAATAGGTGGAGGAAGGATTACTTGCTTTCTTTAAGATCTGTGGAATTTATGTCCACCTACTAAAGTGTCTGGTCAGTTTAATGCATGGACCTTATTTATAAGGTCCATGGTTTAATGTTAATTACGTAGTCCTTGTACATGACGACCGTTTACCTAGGAATTTGTGGACTCTAGGTAAAATAATAGAAAATTATCCTGGCAGAGATGGTCAGGTTCGCTCTCGTCTCATAAAAACTCAAACAGGTAATCTAAAGAGACCAGTACAATTGCTGTACAACCTTGAAGTGCATAATCAGTAGTAAAAGGTTACTGTGTAATAATCTGATTTATTGTTTGCACATATGTCATCTTCTGAGTATCTTTATTGATTGTTGCTAAACGTAGTTTAGTTTATATAATTATTGCGAATTTGATTTGGTATAATGTTTCTTATTTAGTAATTACTTTAGAAGTTGATTTAATGTGTTTAAACATTACTTAATTGTTATTTGCAATTTGATGTAGTTTATATAGTATTCAAATGCTGTGTTTGATTTAGAAATAGTGGTTTATTTTGTATTCGATTTGTGTGAACTTAAAGAGTTCACAGGTGGGGAGTGTTGTAAAGAGAGAAGTAGATGGCGCTGCTTGGCAGTAGCGTATTGCATGTAAGTAGAAACGAAATATCGTTTGATTAGGCAACATGATTTCTGTGAAGGTAGTCCGCCTAACAATAGAACAGTTGTAAATATGTAAATATAACGGATAATAAATAGCATTAAAAAAGTGAACCACCGGATGCTATGTTTTGGCTCTTCGGGCCGCCATAGTTAAATGTAGGTTCGTTACAACTTATATATATTTGTGTGTGTGTTTTAAATTGTTAACAAATAAGTACCATTTTAAGAGATATTCATTTTATTACTTTATGCAAACACATTCGTCACACAGCATAAAAATCAAAAAACAAAAAATGTGCATATTTATAAAAGACAGGTTTCATTTGTTTATAAAAATCACTGATAATTTTATAATTAAACAATTACGGATTTTTGTACTAAAGAAACTTATTGAACTTTCACAGTACATTAGAATGAAGTTTATTTGTTTCATTTGTACTATAAATTCATATTTACTCGTCATTTCATACTTGACAAAATAATTTATAATACTGTAAATTCGTATTTATTATTCAATTCCTGTTTCGCATTCTTTATCAAACATGCTAAACTAGTGATAACTATATTTTCAGTCAGTTTAAGTAATTCAAATAAAAACTGAATTTTCTAAATATTAAATTCATATTTAAGCTCTTATTTCGGAATAATTTAAGCCCAAATTTCGTTTTTTTTAGAGACCATAAAATTGCAGTTAAAATACATGCTTCAAGAGGAAATTTTACAAATCCATTATATTTTTTAAAGCAATCAAAAACTTAAAATATAATAAACTCTAAGATTTAGAATTTACTATAAGTTTTCAGCAGCAAAACAAATTACTTGAGTATAGAAGAGTTTAGTAGTGATGCAGAGAAAATGCATTTTGAATTAGCGGGAAACATTCAAGAGTACTGAGATTATAATTATAATATCGAAAACTGTATTATTGCAATTCTCCTCCTCCACTTAAATTATTTAAAAGAGTTTTTCCTGGGTCAGCCATTACATAATTGCAGTATATTCTCTTAATTCTTAAAAATATTTTTTTTTAAAGCACTATTTCACATACGCTGATGATAAATTTTGAAGAAAGCTATATATAATATATATTCAAGAAGGGGAATAAATCAGAGAGAAAAGAGTGTCAACACTTCAATTTTCAATTTTCGGATGCGGTTTTATGCAAAACAATTTTATTATTTTAATTATTTACTTACATTAAACTAGCATAAACTATCTTTCCATATACTAGATTCTACGTTTTTTTCACATTTAAGCCCACCATATTATTTAGAATGACTACGGGATTATATTTAATCTCGTAAAATTTTTATATATATTGTGAACACGGAGAAAGCATATTTTTTGGAGAAAAAAAAAGCATTTGTAATACACTATGTAAAGTTCCATTTTTAAAATTCAAATTTAATACAATATAAAAATCAGAAATTGAGGAGACGAAGCTGTTTAGCTTTATTTCCTTTACAGTTTCTTCTTCAAAAGACGTTTTTATTCTTTTGGAGTTTTTTATCCCTGTATATACACTAGTACAAATTGTGATCATTTTAATCGTATAGTCAGATTCTTACTTATGGAGAGAAACAGAAGAGGCGTTAGAGGATTGAACAGCATTATTTTACTGTTAGGCAATACAATATCTTTATAATTCTAAAACTCTGAACTTTGTTTCCCAATTTCTGTGACATTTTGCTACTTCCTGTTTACTATTTCTCAAACGATACTTGTAAAGTTAAGGTTCGCTTATTGTACAGTTAATTAGAACTCATCTATTTCTTCCCTCATTTCATATATTTTGGATTACCTTTAATCGTAAGGCACTGCTGTCATTAAATATCTTATTTTTTTCTGAATCTAGTTACAGAATGGTCATTCTACTAATGGTTTCAGTTGAGATCTCTTTAGATATCTTTGGTTATTTTTTACTTTTAATGTGAAACTGTTAGACGTCTTCGAAATTTTGCTATTGCTGAAAATGTTACTATAAATCAGATGGTTCAATTAACTCTACTGAAGTTCCTATTCCTATATTTAAGCAACGGTCAAATTATTTATCACTGTAGTGCCTGGTTTCTTTAGCCTACTTATTTTAACTGCTAAGAAAATTGAAAATATAACCATTTTCATTTGTGCTAAACATAAAATTGCAAGTTACGAAAACTATCCTGATCAATACAAAGTTCCGCAGTTTTAATGAAGCAGAAATATGAATTATATCAGGAAATGTGTAAGAATTGTGTACATAAGGGTTTTCTCAATATTCAATACTATATTAAGACTTCAGTAACATTTTCTGTTCAGAGATAAATTTTAATTTTAAAATTACTGCACAGTAAAACAATTTATAATTTTTATAATTTCATCTCAATAATTCAATAATACTCCTAATCAGATTTCTAGATCTTTTATATAGTTTTTGATACATAAACATATTTCTCTCTACGCCTGAAAATTTAATAGATGAAAGATATGTTCAGCAAATATTAAGTGAGAAAGTGCAGAGCTCAATTATGCAGTCATTTATAGATACAGTAAATTGTTTAAAAAATGCTTAAATTTTAATTTACATTTTATAATATGTATTTTCAATAATCTAGCTATAAAATTTCTCTTTTCAGTAAATAATTTCAGCTCATTGCAAATGCAGGATTGATTACTGGTTCAGGGTCTGAATATTTTGACTTTTTATTCCTTAATAACAGGTATAAAATCAAGACTGTTATCGTTGATAGTACACATGAAGTTGGAACAATATAAACAAGAACTTCAGGTACACTTTCAATGTAGTAACTTATTGTGAATGGCACAATCATTTCACCAAACGCTGCACCAATAGCGAGTGAAGACGCTATTTTGTTCGTAACAATAATATACTTTTCCATCCAACCAACAGTCGCTGGAAAAAAAGAAGCTATACCTACTCCTAACAGTACAGATGACAACCACAGGGCCCATTCATTCGTAACAGCAAAAAATAATAATATTAAAGATCCCACCCCTGTTATAACGAGGTCCCCAACTATTAAAGTAAAGCTAGTGAATTTAATTGCAAGAAAAACGGATATAAATCTTGAAACTGTGAAAGACCCCCAAAAAACAGATGTCATGAAAGAACCAGTAGTTGCAGAAAGTTTCAGATTCCCTTTCACAGCATATGTAGTCAACATCTGAGCAAATCCAATTTCTGTTCCAGTTTCGACGAATACTAAAATGATGTTAAGCGTCACCAGTGTGACTGTAAATTTCAGACTTTGTTCTTTTGCTTGTTTTCCTTCGCTTTGTTGACTGATGGCATCAACTGGTGATATAATGCAAACAGCGAGGAAAAGCATCGATACTATAAGTGCATAACCTCCTATTGTAGTATAAGCATATGTGACTGTAGGGATGCTCGAGTTTGTAATAAAATTGCTGTTGTATAAAATATCCTGTGACTTGTTAAAAAGAAAAGTTGTATTATCAGTAATAATACTGCTGTTGTTAATTTCTGAATCAAAATTACCAAGAAAAGGAGCTGCTATTAGAGGTGCTACTAGGCCTCCTAAACCAAAAGCAAAATGTAAAGCCTGATAGTAAGGCCCGCTGTCTTTACCCCACAAATTGAGACAGCACACATTTCCACCTGAAAATAAATTAAAGTACTTGGATAATTAAAAAAGTTTGCTGTTTTAGTGAAAAAATATTTAATTCAGGTTATAGCCAGAAAACAATATTCAGTCTTTTATACTTTTTACAACACTATAACGTGAAATTACTTGTATCTATGCATCCCAGAGATAATCCATTAACAACCATAAATCCTGTAAGAACTCCTAGGCTTCTGCTCCAAGGTATGCCTAGTATGGTTACTGTTGATAAGAAGTTGAATAATGTAAGAAGAATTTGCTTTGGAGTGATAACATCGAACAAAACACCTCCTATTCATAAATAAAATTATTATATTATATTATATTAAATAAAGATTAAACATATTCAAGAAGCAATGAAAATAAATCAAAAGCACACCTAATATGTAAGGCAAAGTTTGTAAACTTAATATGAGAAGTACGCCAGTCTAGATTTATTTTAATGGTTATCGTATAACGATTTTATATGTTCGCGGACAACTGACCTTTAAAACTAAGGTTGTCAGAAGATTACTAATCGGAGGAAATTTTAATGCATATCCTGTTTACACAAAACAAATGCTACACATAATTATGCATGTTTTTAGCTACTTTACGCAGATAATTTGCATTATAAAAATTAGAAAAAATATTTCAAATTCATTTATCTGCATCTTGTCATTATGACAACTGTGAGCAGCAAACTACATCAAAAGTATTCATTATGATTGCTCTTTATAATAAAATACGAGTACTTCTTCCACGTAAATGTTCTTTAATTCTCTCGTTTGATAGATATTACAACCTCCTACGCATTTATTGTATTATTGATACGCAATTAGTGTCCTCGAAAAGTTCGTAACGATGTTATCCATTCATAAAAATTGAATAAATGGGTACAAAGAAATGTCACTTGTATGATAATATGTCAGAAAAGGTAATTTTTTTCTCCCCGAGTGGAACTATTTGGCTCAAAGTTTTACATGTGGAGACCACCGTACTTTACGGGCAGTAATTATCGCAATTAGAAGCAATGAGAAAGATGCTGAATATTTCTTTTATGAAAGGATATCATTAATTTTGCTTGAAAAGAATTTTTTTGTGATTCATTTCAAGCAAATATCCATTTGCCTGATTTTTCTCATTGTGACACATTTTCGAGCAAACCACCTGCTGTTTGTACTCAATGGAAATAATTCAATGCTAAATTCTGTCTCTGTGTACACAGCACAGTAAGCCGAACATACACTTTATTTTTTATTTTTCTATTGTTATACCTCGGAAAATTTGCCTATGGCCTAGTTATGCAAAATAAGAAAAAAATGTTTTCATATGAAAATAAATCCTACGTTCTCACATCGCACTCAAAGATTTGAAAAATAGCGAAAGTCTGCTGTCTTTCATCAATTTTTTCCTAGTTCAATGTTTTTCGTCAATTTCGTAAATGAAAATCAGCTTTGTTCACGTTTCATGGAAAAATTAATTATATTTTTAATTTTATATTTTTCCCCATTAAGTGCAAAAAATAATTTTAGAAGTTTTATTATTTTATCTGGAAGTCAGTACATTATTTTTTTAAATTGTTGTTTCTGGTTATTTAGTAACCGGATGATTTCCAAAACACTATATTACGTTTACCATAATTTTTTATTATTTAAGTATCGGTTATTGCTATTATATTTGCATACAGCTTCTGTTCTACTACCGCCACTTAAATTATCCATTTATATTAAAGTAGTAGAGAGAAACTACTTACTTTGCAATTAGATGCCTATCATTACCCAAGACTATCATTGCTGTTTAAAAGCATTTATTACTACCTTATTTTATGCTTACTGCAAACTGAAGATGCTCCTAAAATTTAATTGAGATAAGTTAAAAAAATATTTTAATATTTTGACCAAACACTTTTAGTTTCATTGCAACACGGTGTTTTTCTCAGCATATTTAAAACAGTGAGAAAACGCATAGAGTTTCATTAAATATGAAAATTGATCTCTGGCATACATCTTGCACAACTTGCTCTGCAACACCGTATTCTCTGGATGGAATTCGTAAACACTATTTCACATACTGCCTATCGATGTGTAATGACCCGTTCTATTTCTCTAAATTCTTTTGTTGTTTCTATTTTCAATTTCGGGTTTTTGCGGATTTGTAATAGCACAGTCAAGCATAATAGCGATGTTTTCAGTTGACAGGCTAGATTGAGAGCGTGGTGATTTAATATCTGCTGTCGAAATTACGTCCTTAGCTTTCTTTATCCGTCTGAAAACTGTTGTTTGATTAGGTGTTTCACGTCCAAAGATTGCACGAAGCTTCCTAACAATCTGTGCATAAGACTCATCATAACAAGATTTTGCAATAAATTCGCCGAGAATCGAAGCACGGACCTCTGGAATACCGGCCCAATGTGCAGACCACCACACCCCGAAGGCTAGCTAAGAAGGCGGGAGAAATACCTTATAACATAATTACGGCAAAGCATCTGAGGGTTACTTGCCTTACAATGAATCAACTATGAAAGGCAAGTTTGAAAAAAATTCTTATTGCCTTTTTTCAAATACGTTGTTGGTTGTTCCGCTTATTTGGGTTAACTGAAGAAAACGTTGAAGACTTGCCACCAGCTTTTACAATCTTTCTTCAGTATCATTTTTCATTTCTGTCCCCCTTCCATATATCGACATCAGAATCCTTGCTGCCTTTAAATCGTTTTGCTTCGATCCGGTGGTTAATGCTGTAATATGACAAACTGCTGTTTCATGTGGCTTGAGACTCTAGTGCAGTGCTTCTCAAAGTGGAATTTGCGGTAAAATGCTAGTTGATCAAAAGAAGTATTCCAATAATGAAACAAAAGTACCTTGGTAAATAATTGATTTTAGTAATGTAAATAAATATATAAATAAGAAAATAGTAATCAAATCCATCTAATTTAACGTCTAGCTATTTAACTATAAAAATAGAAATGTGTATCATAAATCCAGGAATGTAAACTAAATATTAATAAGTTTGAAAACATATAAAATAGAAAAATTTATTAAAAAAAAAAAAAAAAAAAAAAAAAAAAAAAAAAAAAACTGAGACATCTCCAATATTCAGAGTGTAGTTATAAGGCTTACTATACGCTATATTGTACATTTACAAATTTCTTTTAACTACATATGAAAGCCTGACATTTCAACTTAATTCTGAAGTGAAAATAGAAAAACGAAAAACATTATACTCATGTATAGTGTAAGGTAAAGATCATGATGTCACTAATTGCACATATAATCTTAAAAGTCATTCTTCCCATCGTAGCATTGCGTTGCAGTGACTCATCCGTCATATGCGAGACGATTGCATTTTAGCCAAAAATTACTTGGACGGCTTGAGAGATTTCAGGTCCATTATAAATTAAAAACATCGAATATAAAAATTATCAACTGAGAACTTGAACCAAACTACAACCAGAGAGCACATACAAACAAATTATCTAAAAAAAGAGGCAGGAAGAAATTCACATACAAAAGCAAAATGTAAATTAAAAAAATAGCGACAAAGCAGCCTTCGCTTTTATCAGAGTGTTTGAAAGTTCTTGGTGTTTTACAAACGGCATGTGTCGGGAAACGGAAAATGGCCTGCCGCCTCAGATGGCTTTAAGTACAAATTATGATGAAAAGTGGATGTTTCTGTGCTTTCTATCATCCCCTAAAATTTGTTCCATTACCCTTATATATGTATGTATTCGGAACTCATTAATCAACTTGGTTTAAGACTTCAAAACACAATGAACATTTGACAAGTTCTGTTTGAAGCGCTAAACAGAGGAGATAAATGTTATACTTTTTGTTCTATTTTGTATTATTTTCAGTTTAGTATAAGCATTTGAGGTTTCTTTTAATTTCACATGTACTCCTTTTGAATTACGACTTTCATTGAGAAAGAATTGGTGAGGGCAATCACAGAGAAGAAATTATTATCTATCATTTAAGTTCCGGCTTTTCCTTTTAATGTAATAAATTTTATCTAAATATATCTATCTTAAATCTTTTGTTATCATTTATATATATAAAAAGGGTGTTTCATATTGAATAGTACAGAAAGAAAGCATACCTGTGAAAGCTGTAATTATTTTACTTTGCTAAACCAAATTTACACTAAACTATCCAAGTTTCTACAGATGTTCTACGTATGCTCCTCCGGTGTAAATATCTATTCGCTTTTACAGTTCCTGCTAGACTCAGGAAAGAATATCCTTTGATTCCAGCCCATCAGTTATCCGCTGCTTCAGTTTCTGTAAACGGTGGGGAAATGGAGGAACAACATTTTGTCTTTAACAAAACCCCGTAGGAAAAAAATAACAAGGGGTTAGATCTGGGGATGTCGGTGGCCAATAAAGCAAAGGCAGCACTGCCCAGCACGTTTGACCCAGCACGGTCAGTCCAGCAACAAGGCAGACTATCGTTCAGGTACTGGCGTACGTTTGTATGCCAATGTGGGGGAGCACCGTCTTGCTCCAAAATAAATGCGCGAACCGCTTCCTCCAACTGAGGGAAAAACCACTCTGATGGCAATGCACCCGTTATTCGATTTTTTCCACGAAGGAAGAAGGACCAAAAAGACAAATATCGGAAATGGAGCAGGAAACGTCCACCTTTGGAGAATCATGCTGATGTTCCGCTACACCATGTGGATGTTCGGTGTCTCAGAATCATAAATTATGGAGATTGACAGAAATGTAAAAAGTGCCTTCATCCGTAAACACAAGTCTGTTCGGGAAACCATCTACCTCCAACTTATAGAGACATTAGGTATTTTGGAAGCATGAGTGATGTAAAATGAGCAACGCCTTCGCCGGGAATCGAATCAGGGAACCTCCGGAATACGCGTCCAGCGCGCAGAGCACCACACCACGAAAGCACGCTAAGAAGACGGGGAAATACCTTTTATGCTCCCCCTTTTAATAGGGCTTTAAGGCTTTTAATAGAGCTTAATAGGAATGGGGCTTTTAGGGGACCCAATCGGCAAATTCTGGGTATGGAAAATCATCATCAACCACCCTTTTAGTTCGGGCGCCACTGTAGAAGACATTAGGTATTTTTAGAAGCAGGCAAATTAAAAAAATGAGCAACTCCTTCGAAGGGAATCGAACCAAGGAACTGTGGAATACGCGCCCAGCGTGCAGACCACTACACTACGAAGGCCCGCTAAGAAGGCGGGAGAAATGCCTTAGGTCCGTCCGAAAAATGTATACACGCTTTAACGGATGGTTTATTGCGTACTGGTTTTGAAGTTGAATTACGTTCATAACACATAGTATGGTATTTGCT